AGATTTGATAAAGTATAAATTATTTTTTGTTTTTATGAATAAAAAAATTTCAAAACATATGATTAATAGTATTTCTCAAAACTTTTTTAAATTGTGGATTTACAGAATGTTGTAAAAATCTTTCAAACTTAGTATCATCATCTAATAAAAATGGTTATTCAACATGTACAATATATTTTTCTAATTCATGTCTCATTTTTTCTTGAGAATATTTAAAAGTACCAAAAAACCCCGCCAAATTTGTGTTTGTGATATTTGTTTCCCTTCTTCATTTTTCTTATGACTCAGAATATGTCTACTCAAGTGGCCAGTACCACCCTTACTACTATAACTAAAGTCACTCTTTCATTTAGTGCAAACGACTCTTTTTCCCTTGCCCTCAACTTCTTCTATGGTAAATACTTTCCAAACCGGGCTAGTAAATTAGTAGCATCCATATCAGTGCTAATACTATTATAGGATGATTGAACATCGTTGACATTGAACATGTTGGGGAATTGGTTTCTGGAGGAATCGGCCATTTTTTAAATCTAAAAAAATAAAAATTAATTTAATTCCAATGTACCTAGATTGTCGATTCATAATCTTAACTTGATTTCAACAGTTGAAGCCTCCAAGCCTCCTAAATATATGGGAGTATGAAAATTGGTGCAATAAGAATGATGGAGGATATGAGTATTTATAGGAATTGAAAATAATTCAATTGCCCAAAATACCTTAAAAAAATTAGTCGTTTTTGAGTTGTTAGGAGGGGTATTTGGTCATTATAAAGTCAATATGACTTTACCTAAATGCCCCCCTAAACTAACTGTTATATAGTTGTCGAGGGGCACTATTGTCATTTTCCTCTCCCAAAGCCAAAATACATCAATACACCCTAACTAGTTTTTGGAGGTATCAAAAAAGAAAAAAACTAGTCGTTGGGGGGATCCCAACGGCTAGTTTCTTATGAGCAGGCCACGCTCGGCCTGCTATAGGACCATAGGCAGGGCCATGGCAGGTCATGCCGCAATATGAGCCATGGGTGACATGGCCTGCTTGGTCGTGTCATGTCAGGCCAGCCCATGAGCCTAGAAACCCAAGCTTGGCACGGCCCGATTTATATCTCTATTTTATAGTTTATGGTGAATGGTTGAAGGAACTGCTCAATAGAGAAGAAGAGGGTTTGAGAAAGAGACGCTCAAACAGAAATAGACGGAGAATTGATGCTTTATTCATTTCAGTTTTTACCTTGCTCTTTTAGTAATTAGGGTTGATATGTGAAAGTTGAGCTAATACCAATAGATCAGAGATTCAGAATAAAATTATAATTTATTATTAAACGATTAGATTGGAATATATAGTGATATACCTAAACACTTAATAGAATCAGTTCAGGTTCAGTCTGGCCAGGCTCTCATAGGTTCAGGCCTGAACCCAATCTAAAAATTAGAGAAGTCTCAGCATAAGGACAAAAATATCTAAACACAATCCATGTAAAATTTTTCGGGTCTGAATTGATTCAGATTTGTGTGGAACTCCACCCAAATTATATGAGTTCACATCTCTGCCCTACAAGAGGTCACCCCAGAATGTCTCACAGCACAGTGTTGGAAACATCTCTTAATGATGATGTCATCATTTTCTGATACTATCATCAGGAGATGATAGTCATATACGGCAGGAATATGCTGTAAGAACGTTGTGGGGCAGCCCCTTGGGCGGAGATGTGAACTCAAATTATATCGTACACAACAATACATGTAAGGCCATGATCTCATTCTCAATTTTAGCCATGGACCGGATGGGCTGAAGACAATCATGCACACTCGACTATAACAACCTATCATGAGTGAACACACCACTATCCCATACACATGGGGCCTCACACCTAGTGTTTGTGTATAATCCGGACTCCCATTCACAAAAATGAATTCAATTCAACGGATTCCATCGATAAATAAAACGCTCACAACACTGTACCAACTAGCCATGACAGTCGCACATCCGGAATATCTCCTACCCTATGAATTATGCAGTGGCCAGCTAGGATGGTGTTGGGAGCATTTTGTTGGTAATAGATCCCTACCCGCTCCATTCCCATCGTACCCGATTTAAAACCTCATTCATCCATTATATGCTAGATTAACCTTTCACCCTTTTGTCATGGACTCAGGAAGACCTTGTGCCAAGTTGTGTTGATCTTACAAAACCAATTAGATACGACCAAGCATCAAAATAGAAACAACAACCTAGGTAAGCTGAGCACCAGGAGAATCAACAAGAAAGGTCTCCACAATCGGCATTAACGAGGAAATCACCAGTAAAACGAAGGTCATAATCTTTCAACAAAAAGTATAAAACCCTTGAAGACTCCCGTAACAATGAAGGCACAACACAAACACTTAAACACTTACCAATAAATGAGTCCAGATCTCCTGTTCATGAGAACTCTGCCCACATTTATCGCAGTCATACATGGAGAACATCTCATCCTCTCCATAGGGAAGAAAACACCAACACACACACACAAAAAGACCTAAACACACCTAAAAACCTTGACAATAACAAGAACATCAATTGAATGGGCTTGAGCCCACACTCCCTACAGTTCCAAGCTCGGATCTTCTTGGTGCCTGTGGTGGCACCTTTGGACTTACCACCTCAGCCACTTCACAGTTCTGATTTGAGAATGGAGTACTTGTTGGTTGTGGGTCTTCTTTAGACAGGCATGTCCAATAGTAATCCCAGCATTGGCGCTTCCATGGGCGTCATTTTCAATTTCTTCCTCTTGCCCAGATTTCCTTTTTCTTCTACCAAGTTGTTGGTGTAATGGTATTGTTATAAAAGACATCTAAGGCTGCATTTGGCATTCCTTATTTTAAGGATTTATCTCCTTTTTTCTGTTAAAAATTTAGTGTTCACAGAGACATTTTAACTGCAAAAAAGAGAATAGTCCTTAAAATAAGGAATGTCAAATGCAGCCTAAATATCTAATGAGAAGGTACAGCAAGAGGAATTTGGGCTGGGCTTTCACATTCCAAGTTCCTTGCTCAGCCCAATGAGTCCAACCTAATCCTTGTTCCATTGGATTAAATATGGCAGATTTGGGTTTATGCACATTATTAGGTTAATTGTCAGAATGGGTCAGAGACTCGGATCAATTTAGGCTCCAGTTGATTGGCCCAACCTACAACAAAATCCACCTCAAATGCACCCCTGCCGCTGTGAGCCCATGGCCCTCTCTATTTTGTATGGACAAAACCCATGTCTAATTAGAGATCAGATGTACTCATATCCATTTACAATCATGCATTGAAAATATTTTCATGTTTATATGTTTTCATTTATGGGAGATATTCCTAATGCAAAACTGCAAGTGGCTGTGAGAACAGTATAAACACAGTCTTGTGAGCACCGAATCTAAATTCATCTAACCCCACTGCCATATATAAATAAAACAGCCTGAGAAAAAAAAACTCTTTTTTAAGTTTCATAAAAGCCATATTAGCTGGAACTTGCTTATAACAGAGGCAGAAAAAGGAATGATCTAAAGAAGGTAGAGTTAGGAGAATCTTGCAAGCATATAATTATTGCATAACCAAATCCTTCTAGTACACAATACCCTCCTGTTTGACTCATACCATACCTCAACCGAGTATGTATAATACCCATAATTGGAGAGGTGGGGCGTCAATGTCAATCCCTTCTGTGGTTCGTTCATATGATATGCCGAGTTGTCAAGTTTGAAAGTACTTATTTCAAAAATAAGTAAGCATTAATAAACGTTCATGAGTATTTGGAAAAGTACTTATCTCAAATAAGGGTAATCTAGATACTTTGAAAATGAAGTGGTGGGTCAAGATAAGCTAGAAAAAAAAAAGTATTTATTAAATAAATACTTAAAAATAATTTTGAATTTTAAATTTTTTAAATAAATTTATTCTCAGAATAAACACTTATTTAGAGTTGTATTTTGAAGGCCAATAAGTGTTAGTTGATATGGTTCCAGCTCAAAATAAGTGCTTTTATTGAAGTAATGAAGTAAATACTTATTTTTAAGGTATCCCAACCTGCAGTAGTACGTAGTTACGTACCTCAAATTGAAGTTGGTTCAACTAATTGCTGGTTGACCCCGGGGTGGATCCCAAATGACAGCTGGAAATTGTGAGTGGCCAAAAGCAATATTGACAATTGGGTAGCATCCCAACCCAGCCAAAACAAAAGCACTCGTTAAATGCCACTTATTATTTCATCTCTCTTTTTTTTAATTTAATAATTTAGAGAAAATTCCAGATTAGTATACTGTATTTTAGGTCTAATGTCGCTTTGGTCCTAAACTTTAAAATGCAATAATTTAGTACTCAAATTTGTAAAACATGCCAATCATTTGAAAAGATACAAATGTCCTTCAAGTGTCATCTAATTCTCTTTATCAACCATTTAAACATTGACATAAAATGAATAGTCCCAATTCCTTCAAGAATGTTGGAGCCATGGCCCCCCTATGCCTTGAAAATCCCTATAATACCCATTTTAATTTTACTTATATTTTTAATCCCCCTACCTATATTTACTAACTTTCAGTCCCTCCTATCCATGTTTATTACATTTTAGCCCCCTCAAAAGAAAATCCTAGCTCCGCCCCTAGGGTCACCAAAATTGCTACTGAAACATAATCCTAACTTTCCTGAATAAAAGAGGTAAGGATTTGAGATGGTTGATCTTTTATCAACATGTGGATGGTTGATAAAGAAAGTTAGATAGCATTCAAAGGGCATTTGTGTCTTTTCAAATATCACTTAATGACTGATTAACTGATTGATTAATGATAGATATTAGATTGACACATTTTAAAAGTTTAGATATTGAATTATCTTATTTTAAAGTCCGGAAACCAAAGTAATACCAAACCCAAAATACAGAGTATTAATCGAGAATTTTCCATTTAATGTAATATTCCTTGCTTTCATTATTCATTCATTTTCACGAAAGAATGTTTCTCATGTCAAATTGTCTAAACTCTAAAGCCCTGAGACCCCGTAAAACCACATAACCACTCCAAGTCTAAGCTAACAACATTTCAAATAATACATAAACGAAACGCATCCTCTTTTCACGGATACGCGCTTTGTTTTGCTTTTTGTTCCTGCGGAACATTCGGTGTTGCATGTGAGGAGTCGGTGGAGGGGCCATGACTTCAGCTTCCCTGCAATTAATTAGACCATGAGGAACCAAAAAGCTCTTCCTGTGTTCAATTCCTTGATTTAATTAGTTAATTTATATCTCAAGTCAAGAACTCTTTTTGGTGTCTGAAAACGACGATAAATGGGCATCCGGGTCGTCTTACAACAGTTTGAAGGATCAACTGGACGTTTTAAATGTTATATTACAAAATTTATTTTTAATTAACCGAACTCGTTTGTTCATGATTAAGCTCCTTTTTTTTTTTATTGCTGCAAGTACAGGTACAGCCATGAATGCCCACATCCCGCTTGTATATAAGCCTCAATAGTTCAGAGTCTTTGATCAACAGAAACACGCACAGGAAAGAGAGAAAGAGAGAGACAGATGGAGTTAAAGTTCACCGAAGAGAAGGCAGCCAGCAAGAGGGAAGGCCAGTTGTCGAGAGGGCGCAGCCAGAAGACTGTACGGTGCAATCTAGTGGAAGCGATTGCGCAGGTCCACGGCGGGGGAGTGGTTTCTCGTAGCGGTGAGGATGGGATGGTGCGGATGAAGATTGTGGTGAAGAAGAAGGAGCTGAAGCAGATGGTGGCAATGATGGGAGGTTCTAATAACGCTACCAACGGCGTCAATCATCAAACACCTTCCATCTCGTCCTTCTCTTCATTGTCATCACTGTTATCGTCGACAACATTAGAACAGAGGCTAAAAATTTTGCGCAGGAGGCATTTCAAGAAAGCCGATCAGGAGAAGGGAAGCCGCAGCTCATGGAGGCCTGTTCTCCAGAGCATCCCTGAAGAGTAGTTGCTTTGATTTAAGCTAGATTTAATTTGTCCCTGTTTTCTTTCTGTCTAACATCCTGATAACCGATCTTTGTATAATTCAGTGCATTTATCTTATTTAATTCTTAATTAGAGAAAGCCTCATACCTGTAGCTGTCTATTTAGGCTTCTTTGTCACTAATTTTTTCAGCTTCAAACAAAATAATTTAAAGCGAGTGAAGTTGCAGGGCCATGGCCATCTGATGGAATTCATCATTTCATTTCTTCAGAACCTGTAAAAAAACATTGTTGAATCTTCACTCCAAATACATAAATCTTATTGCCCTAGAAACCATTGGATATTCCTCACTACTTTATTCTGGTAAAACTAAAAATTTGCAAATAGAGAGCCTTATTATTGATAGCATCAGATGTAATATTTAATTAGAGGTGAAAGTTTGTAAAAAAAGTTCCTGAGGCCTGCTTGTTTGCAGCAGAGTTTCATTTGCACTGATGCAAAAGAATTGGAGTGCAAATTCTGATTTATTTTTTCGTGGACTTTTACTATATTTTGTTATGTCTGCGGTGCACATGAAGCAAAATAGAACCGTTTTTTTAGTGAAGCAAAATAGAACCTGAAACAAAGTAAAAGCCAAGCCAAAGTTAACCTGAATTTGTATGTAATATTCATATTTGCATTCTCATGCATACATATTCATGCGATTATAATTGCACTTCAAACAAACAGACAATGAGAACCAATCATTACACTAATTTATGTCGTGGTATTAAATATGCTACTTTCTTAAAAAGGCAAAATATGGAAGAAAATAAATAAATAATTGTATTACTAAATTTCATGGTTAAAATTGTTCTTGAGCAATGAGGATGCAATTAATTGGTTTTTGTTGCTTCAAATGCAAAGTAATCAGATATACAGGTTTTCCACTCATCATTTACCTGGGACGAATCTTTGACATGCAATTAATTGGGGTCCCGTTTGATTCACGAGAATAGGGGTTCGGAATCAGAATCGGAATGCACCATTCTGATTCCAATTGCTATCCCCTAAGGTTCAAAGTATTGATACGTATCGTATTGGGGTTTTTTGATATGTCTCAATAAGGGGTGTTTCGAGGTCTAAGATGGTTCAGGGGGTGGGCGGACTTTAAACCGACCTCTCTGAATCAAATTTGAAAAAAAGAAAAAACTAAAAAAAAATAAAGAAACAACTACCGATACATTTCGATATGCTTCTACTAGCATATTGGGTGTATCGATACTTTGAACATTGATCTGAATCAAACAGAATATGGGAATAGATCATTTCAGTCTAATTTCAAAAGATTTTGATTCCAATTCCGATTTTGATTCTGACTGTGAATCAAAAGGACACTGATTCCGCTACAACTAGTAGGAGACCTTATCAACCATCTACTTGGCAACATGCGAATCTGCTACACATCAAGTGTTCCTACATTCCTACCCAAAACACCACTGCCATCCATTGCGAATATCTGCCCATGAATGACAAAAGAGATATTGCCAATGCATAACTGTGATGTGCCGTGGATAGAGATGTAAGAACAAATTGTGGGTAACAGATCCAAGTCCCAAAGTGGAGTTGGGATCTCTTGCTAATAAAATAAGTTCCAACACCTTACCAATATGATCCGAGTCCATACATCTCACCAATAAAGTGTGGTATACTTAATGACAGCTCCTCACAGAGCGCACCTCACACCAACTTCACAGCACATCCAACCATGTATTGGGAATATCCATCTTCCCTTGAATAACAACACACAAGTACAGAAGATGCTCCTAATGTGCGGTTGGAATGTGTTGTGAGGAGTGCTCTGTAAAGAGCAGATCCGGACTCCCCATGTGGGGTCTGGATCTGCCCCTCACAGAGTGTCCCTCAAACCGACCTCAAAGCATGTTACAGTTACATATGGAAATACTTTCTGTACTTATATATTATCATTCATGGGAAATGTTCTTAATACACCGTGGGATGTGACTTTAAGATTTGTGTATGGAGCAGACCCCAATTCCTCCATGGGCCGGGTCAAAATCAGCCACAGCCCACAAGATCCCTCCGTTCAATAGAAAGAGTTGAATTCATTAAGTGGAGCTCCTGATTGAACCCACCACAAAAGACATATATTGATAATGGAAAATGAGATCGTACATGCTTTTAATCCAGTGATGCCATTATCTTAATAGGCTTTGTCAAGATCTCCTGCAAAATCTTCCCATGTTAGGGCTGCAAGTCGGATCGTCTGATTTGGGGAGTTTCAAACTACATAGCGCTCAGGTTAGGGTTCAGACCCATTTCAAAACTTATCAAATGCAGTCAAGTTGCATCCTTACTCGACGTAGCAGAAATGGGTAGCTTTCATTTAGGTTATATTTGGTTTGAAGGAAAAAGTAGGGAAATGAAGGAAAAGGTAAGGAAACCTTTACAAATCTTGTATAGGTTTCCTTATCTTTTCTTTCAAACCAAACATAGCCTTAAGGTGTAGTTGATTAGAAAGAAAAGGTAGGCAAAAGAAAGGAAATGCCATTTGTATATTTTGATCAAGGTTCTAAATATCCATACAGGTCGATATATCAGATGGGACTATCAATCTGTATCTTTGGCCGTCTTTTATTGTTTTTTTTTTATCTTTTTTTTTTCAAACTGGTTTAGGAGGATCGGTTTAAGGCCCATCTACCCCATGAAACTGGTCAGACCCTGAAACATTTACCATAGAAGTGTATAAGAGGGTCACCAATACCATACGTATTGGTCGATACACCCCTATATGTTGCGATATCTTTATCTTTAATTTCAACTGCTCATGCTTAAACCGGAAAAACAGATACATTGTATATTTCGACTGCTCTGATAGCCATTTGTATATTAATTGCTCAAAGTGCACCAATCAAAGCAAAATGATGATGATGATGGACTCATCAGAATCAGATCCATAAAATAATGTCTGCAGCAGGTTTTATTACATCCAATCCAATCGAAAACACAGTACAACAAATGGAATATCCTTGGATAGAAATAATCACCCCACATACCCCATCGATCATCAAGAATCAAATAGCTAAGTTTGGATACAATTAGATTATATTTGGTCTAATCCGATCCAGTCTAAATTGAGTCCATTACAAATAGACCAAATTCAATTCAATCTGATGAATGCTTTGGGTCATTTTGAATCGATCCATTTCAATGTTTGGACCGTCCAATCTTCTCAAATTGGTTTTACTTTAGACTTGTTCCAGTTCAAACCTAATGCATTGACACCTCTATTCTTATCTTCTATCAATGGATAAGATAAGAGTTCAATCGATCAGATCCAATCCAATATAAATCTATTGTGGATGGATCAAGTCTAATCCAATCTAATAAATACTTTGGACCATTAAGCCTGGACTGGTCTAATTCAATGTCTTATTGATCTGTCCAATCCATCCAAATTGCTTTTGATTTGGATGGATCTAACCCAAAACTGATCCATTAACACCCCTAAATTCGGATTCCCTAGTATTTCTGATATTACTTGTTCAGTGAGATAACCAGTGTAGGACCCAAGCCTAGCATTTGATAACTACTGCTTCCCATAAATTCAACTTTATCAACTGCTATGAAGAAATGAATAGGAGCCGCTTGGATCATGGTAGACAAGCTGGATAACCCCAATATTAGAAGTAACAAACCATCTATATAAGGGCACTATTACTAACAGTAGCAGATAATGGCTTAACAACAAATATTCAACTAATTAATATAATTATCTTTGAAAAATACATTTTTTTATTCGTTGCTTTGAAGGGATAAAATAGTAACTAATATAGCAACAGATTTTCATCTAATCTTGATCTTTTGGAAGTAAGATCCTAGAATAACTTTCCTGTTTTGTCTCTCTTTTAACAGCAGTATTAAACAACCAAGATAGAAGAGTACTGGGAGGCAAACCACCAGTGACAAGAATGAATCTCCACTCTCCATATTGTTATTTCCAATGTTTTCAAACTGTTGTTGATTCGAATTGCCGGATTGTTCATCTCAGGAATTGTTAAGGTAATCGGTTCTATTTTATTCCAAACTCAATCCTTGACCAAAAACTGTAGAATTGGTCAATGATTTATTGATCCAAATAATTAAATCATCAATTCGTTTAATCCATTCAACGGTTTTGACCATTTTTTATTTTACTTTTAAATTTTTCGTTAAAACAGGCCACCTGTTCGAATTGAACAATTGAACCATCAACCCAGAAACTGATGGCCAGAATGGTGCCTGTTCCAGGTCGATTTTTAAAACAATGTCATTTTTTCTTTGTAACTGTAAAGGTTGTTGAATTTATCATCAACCAACCTTAGAAAAACAAGAAAAAAAATAGAAAATATTCTGCTTATGACGAGATCAGAAAGGTTACCCACTTTGACAATGTGCATGTAAAACGAAATAAACAAATAAATAAACAAGCAGAGAAGTGATAAGTGGAATTGGTATGAGAAGCAAACTTGAACGTCTTTCCAGCATTTAAAGGGACCAACTGACCAAGGCAACGTAATAAATTCCATTGTTCCAAAGTTGGTTTTCTATGCTTCATTTTTTCTGCAGATGCCCATGGAGCGGGTGATAGGCCAGAGACTTCGGGCTCTGCCTGAAATTGGCCCAAGGTGCTCAAGTCCAAATCCATCCCAACTAAGTATTCTATGAGACCGGATTCAGTCCTCACAAAACGGTTCTCATACCTTATTTACAGTCTTTTGCAGCCGTATTTATAAGTTGTTATTCATGTGGAAACATACAACTGCAAGTGGCTGTAAGCACAGTGTGAATACGGTTTTATAAGGATTGAATCCGATTTTGTGTTTGACATAAATGGAGTTGGGCTTCGGTCAGTGCAAAACCCATTCAGTCTTTACAGCCTTGCATTGGGAATATCTCCATGTTTATGTGTTTTATTTCATGAGGAGATATTCTCAATACAAAGTTGCAAGAGGATGTTCGAACGGTGTAAACATGGACATGCACTGACCGAAGCCGAACTCGACATGATGAGTCCATCCGCTTATCCATGTACTTGAGCTATCTCATTTCATTTTTGACTTGTTCTGAGATCAAATGGTTCCCATTTCCCTCACCCCTCATGTAATGTGAATGATGATCACTACAGTAGTCAAAAAGCAACTTTATCCTACTTATGGAACACCCCAACTTTCATCAAATGGACCAATGGAGGGCTGGCTTGTTAGTGTGTTAGCTGATTTGTTTCAGCGTTGACGTAGAATCAAATCCCACAATCAGCACTTTGGATAAAAAGGGGTCAGAGAGGAAGTCATTAATGATGCACGGAGTATAAAAGAAAACTTTCATCAAATGGAATTTAGCTTAAGAAATGAAATCG